TGAGCAATGCCGTGATGTGGAATCATTTATTGTGCTTGATTGACTAACATTTATGTGATAGTTTAGTCATTGTATCAGTGCAGCATGGTAGTGTAGTGACTCACGTTTATCACGAGAACACGACTGGTTTAATAAAAACAGTTATTATTATAACCAACTGTACCAGTGTTTGTTTTAATGTGCTTTTGTTTAACTGTGCTAATTATAGCCATTTTGGGCTTCCATTCACTTACTTACACTTTGATTGTAACTGCGCGTGAATTCGGTTACCTTCTGTAACCAAGGTTGTATCCTGGCACGATCTCGGTATCCTTTCGATGCCACGAGATCGCCAGCTAATAAACCTCGACTTGGTCCATTAACTGTCTTCTGATATTCGGCTTCTCGGGGATTTTATGGAGTCATTTGGAACGAGCTTCTTACGCCTTCTGATTCATTTGGCACGTGTTTCTTTGTAGTGGTGTTCATAGTTAACCTCAACTCGACGCCACGCTACAATTGGTAATCCCAAATCGAATACAGTAGTACCTTGATTCGGTGACTTTATTATCTGAACAATGTTAAACGTCTTTTTAGGCAACTACGATAGCCCAATCCATAAACACAAATACATATAGCAATAACGACTATGACGGGTTTAGTGAAAGTGTTAAGGAAGACTCAAATGACTGTAAAAATTAAAGGGTGAAGAGACATTATGTAACTCATGTATAGGCCAGGTTAACATGCTGGTTGGTGAAGAATGTAGCAATTTACAAATAGTAAACGGCCAAAAAACTTTTTAAAAATTGAGACGACTTGCGGAACCGCAGTTTAGAATATGATGAGTTATAATACAGACTTTTCATACGAAGTTACTGTAGTTAGCTTGGTGACATTTACAAGTATATGGCAATGGAAATTGTAACTAAGAAATGTCAAATAATATTTGAATCTAATATTCTTCGTTTGTAAACAGCACACTTTTCATCTGTAGTGTGTAGTATAATAAAGCTATCAAATATCTCTTATGTTAAGAACATTTTTGAAATGGTTTGTATTAAATTTAAAAGCTAAGCTAAGTGAAAATTTTTATATGTTAAATACCAAAACATTAAATCATCCAGAAAAATAGTAAAACTCGCTTGGATTATTTTCAGGAATTAGATCATTCATTAGATTTAACATATATAAGAACAGCTGCGGACTTATAACCGATAATAACCCTAGAATATTTACTAGCAGATGTATTTTATCATTCCTACCACCATTATTCCTGTCATTATCGTCCTTAACGGGTGATCTTATCCGCAACGCAACCATGTAAACTTAATGTATCGCACTGTCATTTGTGCGTTCAAGTAACCACAGATTTTGTCATTTCATAATGTATTTTTAATTAAATAACTAGATTATGTAGTTAATTTTTCTTTGTTTTTAATTTTTATTCGCCACGTCTGACTGCGTTACACTGTACGTCCATTGCACACTGAGATGATATCTCAAGTCATTGTGAGTTTATTCACATAGTTGATTGTTTCCAGATAGACTGTCAGTGCATGATTTTACTGAAGAAAGGTTTGTTGTACTGTAGACTGTGTTTCTATGATCAACTCCCTGTTGTCTTCAGTATGAATTCATACTGAATACTGCTTTAAAGCAGTATATATGTATCCTTCTTTTTTTCGTAGGTAAGTTCAACTGGCCTATATTTCGTGTTTTCGTTTTATCGGCCTAATTATGTCCATTTACCTACTTTGAGCAACATGTCTTTGCAAGTGAAACAATAACTATGACACTAAGCAATTGCTTAGTTTAGTGTTCTTGGTTGTCGTATAATTCAGTTTAGTTGAAAGAATTATGATATACTTGAGTATAGTGCCTGAAGCCTGTAACGAAACAGATCAGTTTAGTAAGTAGAGTTGCCTGTTTCTAATGTGCATACGGATTCAGATCAGTCTGATTAAAAATAGGAAAAAACGTGCCTTTGATGCTGTTGCTGTCATACATTATAAGATAGCGATAAGTATGTTTGGTGTTTATTTCTAAACTGTACATCTATCACTGACCATATTTCATGATCACTGTCATTAAACAATTTCCCCAGCAATAACATCGGTAGCAAGATAGCTAAGTGTCTGAGCTTTTAGTTGCCCGCAAAACAGCAGTATACAGTCTTAGATGTTCTGTGTCTCAATTAAATGCAGCTGGCTGTGGACAAATGTTAAAAATCTTTTTGAAAACTGGGACTTTTAGTTTATCATACACTTACTCTGCTTGTATATTTTCCTGTTAAACTAGACGCAGATGCATGGGAATACTTAAATGGGAGCAAAATAATAAAAGCATTGCAATACGGTACTAAGCCCATGTTATGCTTTGCGCAAGTAATAGTAGCTGACTTTATCTAATATTCATGAACTCAAGGTAAATAACAACTGCATAAATTCTTTGCTAAAAAACATGTGATTTGGTTATTTATATATTCCACATTTCTGACTAAATTCATCACCATTTTTTTCATTTAGAATGCAACAGGAGTGAGTCTTCACAGATCATAAAAACTGTTTTGCCCTTGGAACTATGGCCCTATGGAACTGTTTACGGAAGATCCAACTAACAGCAGATTATAAAAAGGATGCTGGGCGTCCATTTTAGTCTCACAACTACTTCCAGTATTTTTTGACTTACTTCTTTTACCCTTTCGTTTGGAAAAAGACAACAAAAACTGCAGCATGACATTACCAATACCGTTTTTAAACGGGAACTTGGTTTAAACCTTTGTTTTATATTCGATTCTTAACGAAAGTTCTTGAATAAATTTTTGAATCTGATGCTTCTTTGTTTTATCTACTTAATCGTTGCAAGAAACTTGTGATACACGAGCCACTCAGCACCTAGTTCATGTTTTCAAATGGTTGTGGATGGAATAGCTTTCGCTTAACAGGCTTCCGTGTCCAGTAACGGGGGGTCACAAATAACTCCAGGCGGGAACCTAGGTATATTAACGATAAAAGAGGAAACGGAAATTGGTAAATCATTGTATGATAATATCCTTAATCCTTAAGAATAAACCCAGTTGCCTCTTAAAGGACTCCTGCGAAGTCGCTTGTACTAGCTCGGCCGGCAGAAAATTCCAACATTTGACAACTCTTAAAGAGGTGAAGTTGTACCTACAGTCCGTTCTGCTATGTTGTGTCTCTAGTTTCTGGGTGTTACCCCTTAGGTTAGTGTTGGAACTAAGCTTAATTAGGTGTTTTAGGGGATGTCCAGAAGTGTTAAGGTTATTGTAAGCCATTAGGCCACCTCTAAGACGTCTATACTGTAATGAGTAGAGGTTAAGTGATTGAAGGCGCTCTTCATAAGGTGATTTGGTGCATATCCTCGTCATTTCCTTGGGAGACCTACAGACTCGGGTCCTCTTATAGCTTATTTTAACCACCATGGGTTGTCACGCCAGCTGATGAATGGACACGCGTTACACATCCTAACCGTACCTGCGTCTTATAGCTTCTAATTCATATGACAAGCAAGCAATGCCCCTACCCGCACTAATGGCACACTAGTAACTCAAATGCACCCCGTATGGTACCTTACACTGGTTTACGCACTCGCTTAGCTCTTTAGTGAAAATCCCATGAACCCTCCTACCTCCATCAAAACAAATAAATCTGTATTTGCAGCATATAGCAACCTTATTATTCAAAAGTAAGATATAACAGTTAGAACTGGAGTAAAATGGCAGTATACAGCAGATGCACGTGGTACATGTCTTCATCGATTAACTGAAATAGAGAATATGGATATTAGATTAACAGCCTTATTTAGAAAGACTAGTGTCTAATTTGAACTTACTGCGGGAGAAAGTTATACTGGAACTACGAATGTTGTAGAAATAGTTTCTCGGGGCGTACGAAGCACTCAGAATGTAAGACAGTTGCCCAAAAATAATTTGAATATGGAGGTGAAAATTTGCAGGTACTTTTCATCGTGAGGGTGAACATATTAGGTACCAGTTGACATCATACCGTAAGAAAACGCATATTTACGAGTGGTGAAATATGATCTATAAAAAAGTGAGCTTAATAACAGTCAATTAGCTTTTTACTCCATGATCATGACCCTTCGGCTTCCTTTTATGGCCCAAACCGCAAACATACACTAGACACTGGTAAATTTCTGACTTTTCAATGTTAAGCTTGCTTTAACGCACTGAGTAATGAGTACAATCCCTCTATTACTGCTATATGGCATATTTTTCATAACAAACCCTCTGCAATAGATTGGTAGCATCTGTGACTTCATCTATAGTTGTCGTAAGTCTGGGTCCTTTCGAACTCAGTACCGATATACCCTACTGCTGTGCACTCTGTATTAGTTTGACTCGTTGGTGGGATAGTGTTGTCCATACTACTGAAGAAAATTTGAAAAACGCAGACTGTTTTCTTTCACTTTGCCGATAACATCATAAAGGAAAGTTAGGAACGAACATGCTAACAGTTAGTCACAGGCGACAGCAACAATTATTTTAGCTAAATGAAAACGAACTTCGGCTTCGGATATCTAGAAAACAAGATAAAACATAACCGATTGTCGTTTGAAAACGTAAGGTCTTATGTTAGTACTAGCCAGCTTAGCTGAATAAATACAGTGACCTCATTAGCAGCAGGTAAAACCCAGAAAACAAAGCGAAATCAGGAAAAACTTTGCTCCGACGTTCAGAGTATTACACTAACTTCTGAATTTTAGCACACTGAAATATCAAATTCCGTAGCTACACAAAAGAAGTAGCTGAAAGAAGCACAGAACGAAGAAAGCCGACCGCCATTGCTTACGAAGATGGCGGATGTAATAATTCCCGCCTAATTCTGATTGGTTGCTAAGCTGAAGGGCACATTTACGAAATTGAGTTGCGTTTAATTGCAGCCTCCTTAACACATGTCTGACCATTACAACCCTTTCCACTTCCACTTATCTGTTGTTATTTGACCTTTATTTGTTTATGTTGTTTACGTACCGAGTGCATGTATCACAAATTTATTTTTGTTTATATGTCCCGAATATATGAACTTGTGATTTTGTCACTCGTTTGGACATTGCTTAGTGATGTGCGTTGAGTAGCAAGTAGTTATTTTTAAAACAAGCCAAAAGCGGTTTTCTAGAGTTTTTTCAGGACTCTGTGTCTGAAGCGTATGCTAAAATAATTATTCTGTCATTTGATAGGTTGTATATTAAAGTAATTAACGCAGGTAATAAACATATCTCTCCCATTATACCTCTGCAATATAGCTTAGGTATATTGGAAAGATTGCCTTCACCACTTTAAAATCTCAATCATCAAGTGAAAATTATAATTCCAATTCCTTACACAGGTTTATAACCTTCATTTGACCCTAGTTGTTAGGTGGACAGCCTCAAGGTCGGTCTAGCGTCGCTTAGTGATCGCCCGTAAATTGTAGTTTCACCAACATTTATGCATCAAACCTTGCTTACTATACTGAGACAGAAATGAATTAAGCACTGTCATTTTTTTATAAATGCTTTATGTTCCCAGTTACTTGATAAGTAACATTTCAAATGCAATATAGCATTATATAATTAATACAAAAGTCCCGATAATTTGCTTGACTACCGTGTACTGTGTAGCGGTAAAACTGCTCATGAATTACTGTTTTCTATTTTTTAGATGTCTTTATACCCTTCTCTCGAAGAGTTAAAAGTACAGTCTATTATTGATAGTCAAAACAATGGACCTTCAACTCCGCAGTCTGACTGTCAAAGGCCATTATCACAAATTAACCCCACTTTACCTGGAAATTGCAATATGGATAATAATATATCTTCCTACAACATTTGTGGTAGACCTGTTACCTGCGTATCTACAATATCTGGCATTTTTCCTCAATCTGGTATGGGCTGTGGGGTCAGTTCAATGTCAATTGCTCCTTTTACACCAAGCGGAGCGCTTTGTCTACCGCTTCCAGCACCATTTGATTGCGTAGATATAAAACCAGGAGTTAGACTTGTTACTCTTTGTAAAAATGAATTCGGTAAAGTCGGAATTCAGCTTAAAGAAATACAGAAAGTGAGTTTTGAGAAAAATGTCCCTACATGACCTGTGACATCTTCATTATCTTAAATGTTATATTTTTAGAACTAATTAGCATTGATAATTAGGAGTAAGTACAATGCAAAAATGTTATGTCTATTTCTATTTGACAAAAGTAACACGTTAAAACTTGAAATATTCCCATGTATTTCGTGATCCTTAATAAAATTCGGATTATTGAAAAAAATATGCTTGGTCTTCACTAAAGCTACCTCATTTTATCTTGTCACGAATTGACATCTTGGAGCAAAAACAAACTAGCCATACTATTAATTCGTTGTCATTAAGTCATACTTTCTAAATGGAGGAATGACGCACAACAATCATAAAGTGTTCACTGTTAAAAACTAGGGCTCAGTATGTCTAGTTTCTATGACGTAAATCTTCGGATGAGTCAAATAGTTACATTTTTAGGACTAAACTGAAAATGATGTGCACAGTTATATCGACAGCTCCTCTAGTACAAGATAGACTGTAAATGTTAAGATGAAACAAATTACAGAAAAACGGAAATAAACAAAGATGAATATAAAGTTAACACATAGATCATTGAGAACTGACCATTACATAGTTATGGAAAATGATCAGGGCGTACTATTAAATTTGGCCACAAGGTATGACCATGACGTTGTTTCTCTTAAAAAAAATCAGTTTTAAGCGTTGATGCTCCTAAGAAATGTTCCTAAATTAGTTCTTTATGGTGACCTTAGACTTTTTGATATTTCACCTTTCTCTAAGAACTTGATTTCTTTATACATGTTTTTACGTATATAGAAAACATTATCTAAAAAACACTCAATGTAAACAAAACTAGATATTGAGTCATTTGTTACTAATGCGTTTGATAATTGATCTGTCTTAGCAAATCGAACAATTTTTTAATGAACTGTGGTCAATAAGTAAATATATTCTGTACATTGAGCGTAATTGGGAAGTCTCAGAATAAACGGATCAAAATTATCTTTAAAATGTTATAGAACACATAAATAAGCAGTTTGTCTTTACAAATGCTCTACGCAAGTACGAGATTTAATGTTATAGACTATACGTTCTCAGAAATACCTTACTAAAATTTCATATAACGAAGACTATTTACTTCATTAGATTATTCACGTTAACTCAATTTATTTGAACTGTGGTACAATTAGTATGTATTTTGATAAGAAATTGCTTTTATTTCTACCGTTTTCAAATTTTTATGCTGTAACGCAGCTGCAGCATAATGAATTACTAGTCTGATACGATATTTCGTAAAATTGGAAAATATTTTTTCATGATTAAATTTCCGGTTACAATGAATTAGGTAGATCAATGTATTTTTGAACCCAAATCAACAGTGATTAGAATAACCAGGCTTACATAGATATATTTTGTGCACAGATTATTAGCTGAAAATCGTGATGGATATACCTTTCGTAGCCATTCCAGGTACCGGGATATCTTGTATATAGTGATAACTTCAACTGGACCACATGTCAAGTAAGGAAAAGGTTATGAGGCTGTTAATAGGAGAAAATAAAGATACAAGTGACTTATAAAATAATGGTATTGTTATTAGTAATCAAATCAAGTATTAGGTAAGAGACAGTCAAGTGCATGAGTCAGTATGAACTAAGTTAGCTGCGAAAATGAAGTGACTAGTGAGTAAACTGATCAAATATATGGAAAAAAGTAATCAAATATAGTAAACTCAGATTCTGAAATGCTAATAATGAGGGGAGCAAGTACATTAATGGATGTATCATACTAAAACCAAATATGTCCCATAGCAGAGATGACTATTGACTTGGTGCACCTAAAGCTTCCCAAGGAAATAAAGGATTAGGTTGACTCCTTGAATTTATGGTTTGAGTGGGTGTGTTTTTACTGTTCGAGATAATTAAATTTTATTTGCTTCTAACACGTTAGTTTGAATGCAATAGATTTTCAAACTAATAAGTGGTACTTAGTTTACTGTCTGTTCAGACCAGATGATCTTAGATTAAACTGCCTTGTGAGGTGAACTACATTGTTCTGTGGATTTATTTGAAGGTGCTTGGAGGCATGAGACTTTAAATGTTCAGCACAATTCCCCTTCAGCTTCACGTTCAACAAACATGTAGTAAATCCTGATTATCGCTTCCAAGATTCACGATGATTTGATTAATTTATTGTTTTGTAATCATATAGATGTATAAATATAATAGTATGGCATAATGATTGTGTTATATGGTGTTTTAAAGCATACCTAAGGCTTGTGAAAGCGTCTCAAGTGAATTAGAGTCATTTTGCCGAAATTCTTAAACGGTAGGTTTTCCCTGTTATGTTTATTATATGAAACAAGTTTCTAAACCTAAAAATGCTCGAGCTTCAGTTTAAGTGTAAATCTGTCACTTATTGTTGTGGTTATAGTTAATATACGTAAAGCGTTTGAACTGTGACTAAAATGTCTAAGTTGTGATTAACCGTATGCTTGGTTTCATGATGTGTAAAAAATATATATACCAGGCTTTTATGCTTTCAGTTCTTTTTTCATTTCGATAGGGTATATTTATTTCATTTGTGGAGGGATTTTCACCAGCTGCACTTGGCGGTGTGCGTTTCGGAGATCAAGTCCTGGAAATTAATGATATTTTAGTTACAGGTTGTTCAGGGACAAGATCAATGGAAATATTGAAAAATTCAACTCCTAACAACATAAGACTTGTATTACGTGATCGGTAAGTAGTATGTATGATAATATCAATATATATTTGTTTTCTGTTTATTGCATTAATTGGTATATATAACATGTTATTGTGTTCACACATTTACTCTTGTTTTGCCTAATATGAATCAGTTTTATGGTAGATACAATTTACTTCTCAATATAGTATAATTTTCATGGGATAATTACAAGATGTTTTTAAAAATCCCATTTGATTACAAGTTAAAATATAATTGAAATACATATCACTATGAAGATTGTTATGGATTATTTTGTCGAATAACACAACTTTTAATTCATCAAAGGCTAATGTAGATTAAAAAGTGAAACAGAGTAAAGAACTAATTGTTTCGAAGAAATTTTCCTTGAAAACTCTACAATAATATGTAAATATAAAATATATACATTTGGTAGTGCTTTGCTACGTAAACTTGACTTCTGTATTCATATGAAATATGTACACGCTTTTTATCTTAATTATCATAATAGTCAATATTCGAGTGAGTTACGAATGAATGAATTAAACAACTTTATTTTCTTGATTTTGTTTTCATAATTTCTGTTCTCTTTTTGTTGATGAGTTGTAATATTCACTTTATTTATTGCTCAATTGTTGTTTATATCCAATTTCTAATCAATCACACTCTACTTTCTTCATTTTTGGGCAATAATGTATTACTATCTGCCCTTACCATAGTCAAAGTGTAGTTATAGACCACACTCAGGAACTTGGTGAATGAGCTGATTTATTATTAATATAGATGAACCGACCAATAGCGAAATATTTAGTGTATAATGCAACAGATAATTGATGTCATCAACTGATGCAGATGCAATGAGTATTTGTAAATTTCACTTGTCATATAATTACTACATAATCATGTTTTCTGTGTCCTGTTTTTGTCTTTAAATATGAAATTACCATACCATTTTATAAGTCTCAACTATTTATTTTGATTTTGTGTTAATTTTCACTTCTTATTCCATTTTTTCTCTTCAATATTTATAGTTAATTCTACTTAATTGTGTAACTACATAAATCTTGACAAATTACATTGTAGCACAAAAAAATATGCCAAATTTTCATTTGTATTATTCTACCTGTTAACTTTGGTTCTTAAACTAATCGATTAATAATTCACTTGGTATTGTTTCTACTTGAATCTTCCCATTAATGTTTAGGACTGCAATTGATCAATCTCTTATTGGCACATGTGCATACTGTGAGTATTGCTTCGGTATTGTCTTAATTTACAAGCAGTAGCTAAGTGGATAACGCGATGGCGTTTGAAGTGAACGGTACCGGTTTCGAGTCCCGGAGTGAAAATCAACTCTGAGATCCGGGTACATCCAGCTGACGAGTCCCAAATAGGACTAAACGCGCGTCCTGGATTCCACTGTTACCTACTATCCATAATCGAATAATGTATTAAATCGATTTTTCTATTTCTATAGAATTTAAGTTTGTTTACAACTAATTGCTATAAAACACATGAAAATAACCTCAAAATCTATCTTATTATACATGATATATGTCAATATATAGCTTCTGGTGTTAAACAGTTTATAATTTCAAAAGATAACTAAAATGTCAGAAATAAGACAATTTTTTATCAAACATAATACTCTCTTCCCATTGAGGATTCAAGGAATATGATAATGTGATAATGAAGTTGAACATACACCATTGAATACCAACTCAAGGATCTAGATATTAGGGTTTTTTACACGAGATCTAAGTTTCGGTATTGGATCTTCAGTGATGTCAGCTACTGAGAAGCCCTGTACTAGAACAAAGCAGCCATCTAATGCTTTCAGGTTTTTAATGTAGGTTCAACTTTGGTTGGTTTGTGATCTTAATAATATTAAATAATCTCCAAAAGCTCCTATACTAATAGTAGTAATAACGATGTATACTAGGAATTGAAAATGAATCAGTGGAATTGTTAAGCATTGATTTTTACGCCGATCAAATAAATAGATCAAAATCAACTAACGTATAAACCGGTGATTAGTTAATACATAATTATTTAAAATTTATTAATTATCTGGTGTACTTATTTGTATTCAAAGTTTAAACAATCAAAGTAAATGTAATTTTGATAATTTTGATTTTGATTATTACCCTGAAGAAGTCCAGACAAGTTAGCTGGACGAAACGTTGGAATTAGTTAAATTTCAATCGCTGAGAATATTTCAAATATAATTTTCACATATAATGACTTCTCTATACTCGGCGCTCAATTACTGTCAAACTATTCGTTCTAATCTTGACGAATATTCGTATAAATGTAATATTGTTTAAATTGTGTAAAATATTACTTACCAAGTTGCAAACCTATAAAAAATGAATCAGAGTTGTATTTGTTTAATGTATTAGTATAGGCTAATTGTAGAGATTTTAGTAGTTTCATACCTGAAATCACGAGTCTATCTAAGTTAGACCACCACTGAAAACCTGAAAGTACTGAACGACCGATTCTTCCCAGTATGGGAAACCCCAGAAGTGTTAGTTCACGATTCTGTATACGGGAATCGAACTCAGGATCTTCAGTCTCACGTGCGAATGCTTAACCCCTAGACCACTGAGCCGAACTGTTTCTCTGTGTTGATATCACTTTTGTTTTTATTCATTGCTACTATTTGTATTTCGTGTTTGAGGAAATCGTATCTCTTTATTCGGTTTGGATAGTGACCATAAAACAATTATCTAATGTGTACCCAAAAAATAAAGATTCATATTTTATTGAAATTATTGACACGATATTTCTACAGTAGGATTTCTGAAAAGAAAGAACTGTTATATGCATGTCCTCTAGTTAAGCCCGTCTAATACTTCATAGAACTTGTAAGTTCCATCAGTTCCAATGAATTGGCATTTGACAAAATTTCTTCACAGATTTTGAACGTTAGATGAGGATGGAAAATAGTTGGGAAAGGAAATGAAGTTTCATTAATTAAGATGGTTAGAAAGTGCTTTGTGTTTGCCCAACCACTAGTTATTTAGAAACATAGTGCTGATGAAGGTTTATGTTGAAAAGAAACTAGAAACGGTCTAATCAAAATGTGGCATCAGTCTATGAAATCGTTTGCTATTGATTCGAGCCATGTAAGTGGGTTCAGACTATGTAGTAGAGGTTCGAGCAATTATCATCACCAGTGGTTGGAAACGTTGGGTAATATAGCGCAGGATCGATCACACTGGTACGGATATATTCATTCTTTGTCTTCCCTTAGGTTCCAACTATGGAAATCATCTTATACTCTCATTATTTGACAAATTCCTTTTTTCTTCTCTCATCATGCATTCTACGCTTGATGTTTTCCACTACCCTTAATATTGCTATTATACTTATATTACTTTACCATCCCGATATTACTGATATAAACCGATGCAAATACATGCATGGCTCTATATTTTGTATGAATAATTTACTAACTGTTAGACTGTTCACACTTATAAATATTCTAATTCTTTCCATTCATTAATCTTTTGCTTACCCTAGTCCATTTGAACGTGTTATTACTGTGCATAAAGATAGTTTAGGTGCAGTTGGTGTACATGTTCGTAATGGTTTAATTAAAGCAATTGTTAAAGACTCAAGTGCTGCACGTAATGGTTTATTAACTAATCATCAAATTATTGAAATTAATGGACAAAATGTTGTTGGTTTAAAGGATAAAGATTTATTACAACTTATGGAGGAATCAAAAACTCCAATGAAAATTACGATTATACCAAAGACATTTTATGATAAATTAACTAGAAGGTAAGTTTTTCCTTTAAAACATTTACTTGCTTAATTACTTGCTATATTTAAAGTTAAAGAAAAACTACGTTTGAAATTCAGTTTAAACATCAACACCCAGATAAGGTATGTGCATTCAGCTGACTAGCCGCAAATGGGACGAAACTTGCAACCTAGATTCTACTACTAGCTACAATACAAATTTATTATTCATTATTGTGCCTTTCCTTTTTTCTTAAGAAAAACATAACCAATTTGTCTAAAAACACTTCACATCTGGTGCTTTACAATTATACCTCTCAGTATGTATGTATATAATACGTTTCGTCCTGTTTTGCAGTATTTTCATCTAAGTTTAACTTGATAATTTCAAATACATTTATCACTAGGTGCATTGTCTATAGTAATATACTTTTTAATATTGAAATGAATAGAGAGCAGTACTTCTAACACTTCGGAATTCAATGTAAATGACTTCTTTACCGAATTAATACACAATGATGTTTAGAAAGGTTGGCTATTTAATTTTTTATTCATTAAGACATTATTTATATATTGCTATTTAATTATTATATCCCATGCTCATTTGATTGATTCAGTGAATGATATATTTGTTTGTTCAATCATCCTCTTAGATTGTTTACATTTTTTTCTAAACTGTAATTTGTACTTTACAAGAACTTTTGTCTAAATTTGATCGAATAGTTTCACAGTATTGAGTATTGAAGTTAATGTTAGTTACCGATAAACAAAAAACTAATCTCCAAATCTTGTACAAACTTTCTACTTGAATTATTTTCATCAAAAGTAACCGGCTGATCTACTAAAGTTTAAATTTGATTTCTAAGAGTTTACCTTGTTAAAGAATTGTGTATGATGGATCGTAAAAAACACTTAGGTTTTATTCATTCGATTATAACTTCTAGTCTTCCCGACCGTTGTCGCTACGTTGACGTGATGGTCGGGCTTACCTATCGTGATGAAGCAACCGAGCTATACTGGCTGGAACAACCATTCCTCAAGGTCCTACCATGTCAGACAGGTCGGTTGAAGAGCGGTAAGACTAAAAGCAACAAACCCAAGGTCCGAAGGCGAAGTCGTACTGCTGACTGTACAGAGGCGTGACAGCAGTAAGGTGTCTCCTTCAGACAACCAACATCAAAGCGATGCTGCTTTCCCGCAAAGAGGGGTGGGGTTAGAAAAAGTCGACCCTAAAAGTGCACACCTCGCCTTATCCCACGGATATCCGTCTCCGGCGGTAAGGTCTCAACAAGTACAGGGCTAACACAAAAATTACTCATAAAAAGGTCGTGTGTGACCGACCTCAGACATTTGTCCCTTGGGCTCTGTGGTCACGCTATCAGGTCACTAGGACCATCTCTAATACAAGTTCCTTCTCAGGTACCTTCGGAAGAACCCTTCCACGGTGTGGGCAACCGGGAAGTGATAACCGCCCTCATACCTCTAACAACACTCAAGATCACCGTATTCATAATCAACCTCCCTCTTCAATTCCTATTATTCCTCCTACATCGACTTTCAACTCTAAACTTCCTCTTTCGGCTTCCTCCTCAAGTGTTACCATAGCCAACGATTCTAGTGCTCAAAACACTGTCCCAGGTCTACTGAAACCTCGCTCCAAACTACACGTTGTAGCCTTCAACGTACGTACCCTATATCAAATCAGTCAACAGGCTTCCTTGGCTAAAACCCTAGAATCTCGTATCATTGATGTATGCTGCTGTATCTGAAACAAGCATACAGGATCTCAGTGTGGTCATTCACTTGACCTCACCTCTGCGAAACGGTGAGCCAACGAGATACACCCTCCGTGTATCTGGTGACCCGACGGCCAGTTCTTGTGGACTGGCAGGTGTGGGCATAGCACTAAGCATGAGGGCGGAACAAGCACTGTTAACAGTCGTTTAACTTCTAGTCTTAGCCTACTATTAAATGTGCTCTTTTACAGAGAGCGTTCTGTCTAAAGGCAAGTACATGAATCTGTACATAACTGTTGAATTATGTTATCAATTTCGATGGTATGACTGGAAAAATGATGAGGAGTGTAACGCTTCTTGGCTTCTCTTCTGGGAATTATTATTTGAATAAAAGTGTCTATTGAAATCCTGTCTGTAATTCATTCGTTTCTTTATGTTACATAATACCAAATAATGAAGCATACTAATTTTTTTACTTGTAAGCATTTACATTTTTCCACTTGTTAACGTTGTAGATCTTAATTAATCAGTCACTATTGACAAATGGGTATCTTGACGGCATTGCTTATATATTATCATTCAGACATGAGTACTTATGTACGGTTGAATTACAGTTAATAGAATTCATAATTAGTGTTTCATCTCATATGAAATTTGCGACATTATGAATCGAGCTTAATTAATATGATAAACATCGACATTTTGTAGCCCATCAAATATCAAGTGAAGAAATCACCAGTTAGAATATCGACATTTATGACCTTGTTTTGTGTTAAATCAATAATGCATCAAACAGCACTGACAATCTCGAGTCAACTCTAAATCTTTATTGATTCTTTTTTTTTGGTAGCTTCTCACTTCACGTAGTCCATTGAGTCCAGAAAACAAATATCAGTCTCCCCTATAATTTATCGTATAATTTTTCTTTACTCTATAAAAGTCTTAGTGATAACATGATTCTATTTTAGATATCAGTTATATTATTTATTATTTTTGTATAAAATTAAAATATTTTGTTCAATAGAATAGCAAGTGATAAATTAACAATGATCGTAGAAATATCTTGTTTAAGTGGATTATAACATATAAAGACTAGACCATTTAATGAGAGCAAAACACAATTATACAAGTATCGGGTATACTCTGTTCCTACTCTTTCTCTCTTTTTCTCTTACTCTCTCTCTCCCTCCCTCTCTCGTTAATCTTATTATTCAAAACATATCTGATTATGAAAGATGGATTAAATTAAATTATTTGTTAGACATGAAATTGTATTTGTTGTGAATGTTCGTGTCGTTGTTGTTGTTGTTGTCTAATGTTTTTTGTTCCAAGAAAAATTTGTAATCTAAAACATTAGGAATGAATCAATTTAATGATTAATAAACTAGGTCTGTTGTGAGATATCAACTCACTGAAGACAATGATGTACGGTGGCGCGACTTCGTGGATTGGTTGAAGTTAGACATTAACACCATTGGATACCGGCTCAGTGGTCTAGTTGGTTAAGCACCTGGCGCGAGACTGATGAGTCCTAGGTTCGAATCTCGCGAGATGCGGGATCGTGGATGCGCATTGCTGAGGAATCCCGTGTTAGGATGAAACGCCCGTCCAGTACTTCCAGGTTTTAAATGGCGGTCCAGCTTCAATGGACTCATGATTTCAATCAGTGATATTAATAATGTACTGTTTGGTTTTAAAATTTTAAAAGCTCAAACTATTAACTATAACCAAAGATGGATGTTGGCTAACTGTGGAATCCAGAACGCTCATTTCGTTCTACTTGAGACTTGTCAGCTGAACGTACCTACATCTTAGAGTTGATGTTCACTATGGGACTGAGAATCAATATTATTCACTTCAAATGCCATTGCGTTATCCATATAGCTACTAAGATCCGATAACCACTAACTTGTGCAATTTCTTTTTGTATTGGTTGTTTGTATAAGAGACTGATCAAATGTAGTCCTAAACATTAATGGGAAGATTCAAATAAGCAATACAAAAATCAGTTAAACTACTAATATTTTTGGGTAAAGCTGAATAGTACCTAATTGTTGTATCGTGTGGACTGCAGGTTTTGATAAGCAGCGTTTATATCGATCGATTACAGTGGACACGTAAAACACGTAAGGACGACCTAGAGTCCCGATTGGCCCCGCTTCCCTGTCTAGCCCAGCCAGTTGAGTCTAGAACGCAAGTCACAGCCTCTGAGTTATGAATCATTATATTTCAGACATACTCTATTTATATACTAACCAAACAGACCACATCGTACCAATAAAATAGAAAACAACATTTGTACAATATTTAACGAATGAAATAAATAATGGCCAAAAGGAAATATCCATTTAACGTCCAAGGACATCATTAGACTTAACATGATAATGATTGGTATATTATTCTGCATCCAGAACACTAATAATAAAACCCAGGACTCATTTTCTCATTCTAATTTACAATTTTCAATTGAATATACCTACATTTAAATGTTGATGTTTATAGTAGGACTCAAAACTGGTGTTTTTGTTTCAAATACTGGATGCATTATTCATTTAGTTACTGGGTCCAGGTTACCATAGTTTTGTGCAAAGGGATCGAATTATTATTCATTATTTTAGTGATTTGAATCTTTTGATTTTTAATATTAAAGACTACAAATGTTTAGTCTCTTTTGGTTTATGTGCATTCTAAACGGATTGTCTTGTTATTATTACGAAATACTATGTATCTTTTAGCAACTTCAAAGCTTTTCTATTACAACTGTACAATTTAGTGGATCTAAATAGTATAGTGTATTGCATTTATTGTTAAACAGTTAAAGACAGTTTTTGTTTATGTAGTGTCAGCTGATCATTTTATCATTGAATATATTTATGCGTAATTCAGAAATCTTTAATTATTAGATAACTTGGACTTATAGCTCATATGGTGGTAAAAATGAGTGAATCAATAATGTTTAGTTTAAGTGTAATACGTGGAGAGTTGCGAGTTCTATGCATGATTTTATGTTAAATCAATATGGAAATCTGACAACAGTAAACTTAGACCTGATAAACATTATGGCTAACAATAATATAAACGTGGTATCATTCTATATAGACACTAACTGTGGATTCGGTCATGAAAGATAAGAAGCTATAAAAATAGGTAGAACTTGATATGCTCGTTCATAGGTTGAAGTTAAGACAATATATTAACACAGCGAGATGTAATCTAAGTAATATTCATGCTAGTGGCATAAGATATATGATTCGAGGAGAAAAACATGAATTTATCGAATAAAATTATTTTTTAATGGTAATTTAGAAACTTAAGACTTAATGGAATACAAAGAGTGAATGCACTTGTCCCCCATTTTTACAAATTATCCAATATGTCGCTCAACACTCCATTCAATGGTTATGATAATGGTGAACTTTAAAACTAGATAGTTTGAACTTACCTATATGGATTACTCCAACTATTAATGATTTCTAAGAGTGATACCACGTTTCGGTTTGGCCGTTCTTAGTTTTCGTTCAACCTACCCCTTCACCAGTCATCTGGACTTATTCAAGTAGGCGGTGGTTAGATATATGTAATATATTTCCTAATCATTATAATCAACAAATATTCATTAACTCATTATATATATATATATATATATATATATATATATATATATATATATATATATATATATATATATATGACGATAAACATAATTTATCAACTCATTTCTTTTCATTTGAATGTTATAGTCTTCCAACTGGACAATTACGATTACAAATGGATCGTTCATTACCTTTTGTTTAAATATACATATAACAATTAAAGATATTTCTATTCAGTATTTATTTTCATTAAATTAACAATGTGATAATGATCATGATAATGATGTTATGATCCGAAATAAAACGATGGATTCATTGAGATTTATCGTCCTTACTGAATTTGTTCGTGAACAATTCAATGATCTTCTTTCACTTATTTCCTTTAGTTTATTCTTCCAAAAAAAAGTGTTTCTATATGAGTTATTTTGCACGATTGTTAACAATGATGTTAGTAATAATGGGAAGTATTAGGATAACACTGATAATTGATTATACTTAACATTGGGTACAAACATACTCAAGTATTATTACCATTATTATTATTATTATTATTATTATTATTATTATTATTATTATCATCATCATCATTATTATTATTATTATTATTATTATTATTATTATTATTATTATTATTATTATATCACTTCTATAGTATTCATGACAAGACAGAGAGTATTTTTCATTTCACTGTTTGCTTGTTTATTCTTGATTTTTTCATTTTTGTAATTTTTCTCTTCAATAATCTCAGTAAATTATGATTGAGTTATGATTTAATCTTTTGATTAGGGTTGTTTTTGAATTGAATTGAATCCACTAGTCGATTTGAGCTAGATTATTGCCGTTTCGAAATCATGGATGCGCAATGCTGAAGAGTTCCATACTAGGACATGACGGCGGTTCAATACTTTCAGGTTTTCAATGATAGTCTAGCTTGAATCGACTTGTGAATTCAACTGTGAAAATACTAAAACTACACAGATCCCCATACTGATATTATTCATGTACTCACTAGTGATTAGCTTCAAGATGGATTTCCTGGAGTTCTAATGAGAATCTGTGACCAGTAGAGTCCAATACGTGTGGGGTGTGAGACCGTTATCCACCTCATACAATGGCTGAGAGGTTGCTCAAGACCATGGATCGATTGAAGTTAGACACTAACACCGTTGGATGCCAGCTCAGTGGTCTGGAAGTTAAGCGTTCGCACGCAAGACCGAATGTCCGAGTTCCGACTCCTACATGTGGGATCGTGGATGCACACTGTTGGGTAATTTCAAACTAGAACGAAACGAACGCTCAGTGCTTCCAAGTTTTCAATGATATACTTTTATTATCTTGTCATACATTATCATATTCGTCAGTGACTTTTTATACAGTAAATTCTGATTACATTCAATAATCGGAATTCTGTTTCATTTTAGTGAAATTCATCAAATTCTTATAGCATTACTCTATCGAATCAGGTTAAAACTATCTTTGTACATTAGTCGAAGTAGCGTGGCTCATTGATTGAATGTAAAATTGAATTTTGTGTTATTTAACATAAACCTCTTATAGTAAGAGTTATTCATAAAGTTATTCATTCTTTTCATCGAAAATTAAGTCTATACTAACAAAGGATTGGATTATCTCATTGTTGATATTTAGGATTGAATTTTAATTGGTCTTTGTTAACATATGTACGTTTTGTGCAGACTGCCTGACGATAAATAGTGAGTGGTCACCAGTTAGAAGTTAGCGGTTCCAGAATCGATATCTGAATAATGTTTATTCTTTTCAATGCACATTACCTGCCAGCCACCACGATATCTCTGATTGTACTTTTTTGTAACTTATACAGCAAAATGTCGTAAACGTTTCATAAACGTAACTGACATATTAAAACAAACGAAATACAAATGATTCGTTGAAATATCTAGGTGCCAGGAACAGGTAGCCCAGGTATTCAAGCAGGTCACCAAAGAAGCGTACGATGCAAATATTGAATAAGTTCAATGGCTATCTGAATCTATTGACTTTGTGAAGTTGACGCAAATGGTACTCTATTCTAATTTCAGTGTAAAAAGAATTAATGCTACAATCAAAACACATTCAGCTGACGAGTTCGAAATAGGACTAACAACTTCCCCAAATTCTACCATGATCCATCTATTCTTTGAAATTAGGTATATAATTTTATAAAAGTCGGATTTAAGTATTAAACCAAATAAAGAACTGGACTGACTAGAAAACCATATAAAAATATAAGTGCCATGGATGATATAACTACTATAAAAAGAGCTAAGTAGTGTATTTTACACTTTGGTGAATAACTCACGTTGAGATTAAAGTAAGCCTGAAGACTTAAATTATATCAAAATGGAATAAGTGAATTGTATACATGATAAAATAGTGAGTTGATTATCATTAAATTAACAAAACAGCATCATACATTTTTATGGCCAAATATCATCTATCATAGAAATAGATGTTAAATGAAGTCGTAGTTTACTTGAAGTCGACTTGACACTAGACCTTAGTATAGTTATTAGATCTAGTTTAAAAGATGCTTTACGTTACTTTATCATCTTTGTGTTTTAACTGATTTCATTCTTAAATCTAACCAGTAACAAAAATATACACAAAATTATCTAAAAATCAATCATTTTGTAAATAAATCTCTTCATCATCTACTTAAACAAGTTTTTATGGCAACATAAAATCAAGCTGATTATTTCAACCGCTAGTTACCACCCATCTTTGGGTATAATGCTTGTGACTGAATGGCAATATTGAAGTAATCCATACAGGATGCATATATGCCAATAAAAGACTAAACATTTTTAGTTCTAAGCATCATACGCATCCCACGTAAACATGAATAATTTGTTCGAACGGCTCATTTCTTTTATCTTGTTGTAATCCTCAATGTTATTTAGAGCAAGGTAATAATGAAAATGTAATAAATGAATCATCTACTTTAGTAGATATTACTTACTTACTTCACCATGAGGCGTCATAATTCCCCTAAATGAAGACCTTTTAACTCCCAGAATAGAGTTCAAATGGTTTGAATTGTTTTTTTCTGGTTGGCGTTTCTTTAGCGAGTTAGTTTTCTACGGGATGAGGTCGCTAACCTCATGCTCAACCCTCCTCTTTTACCCAAGCTTGGAACCAGGAGTAACTCTAGAAGAGCTACAGGCGGAATTCTAATATCTACATGCACATCTGAAATTAATTTCAGAATATCTCTTCTGTTTTCAGTTCACATCTCAGGTTGACTTTAGTTTGATAACTAATGAAAATCAGGAACTATTGAACAACTACTTCATTTTAGTATGGAATTATTTAGCTGTGTTGATTTACGACAACAACAGGCAATCGAACTCATAAAATTCATATTTCGCAGTGAGAGCTTAATTTTTAGAAAACGGACTCAGTTTCTAATGTTTGATGCGTTAAATTTCAATCAGTTATTTAATCACTTTACAACTGGGCAACTTTCTCATATTCGACATAAGTGAACTCCACTTGTAACGAATTCTCACTGTAATTACAGGAGTTATCTCTTGAATCGAATTGTTTTTATTCATCACAAACTTAACAAACCTCATAGTGATTACTTGTAATTAACAATAAACTTAAACACAAATGAATGATAATACCATGGTTAATTAGCAGTAGATCAGTACATGTATTCAATGAAATTAATAATCACCATGTGTGCATATTTAGTTAAATTTAGTTACAATACACAAACAAAGTCGTATATGAAACATTTTCGGTACTGTTGCATGAAATATAATAAGTATGGTAGATACTATATTCATATACTTGTTCTAATGAAAATATTCAACTAACTTCATAATTCAACTTTAATATGAATCAGTAATGTTGTCTATATTCACACTTTATAATTATAATATGAAAAAGGGGGGTATTTCATAAATTATTTACAATATTCCATAGTAATCTATTTAAGTAGGCTAATTTATTTGTATCTAACAAAATATGTTCCAATATTTTACAAAAAATGTTACCTAATCAAGTTGGTGTTCCACTGAATCTGACAATACTGGTCACTCAAAGATGAATAAGAAAGAGGGTGATGATAATTGAACGGAAACGTTACGCAATCATATGAAGCGTTAAAGGATTTCTAACTAGAGAAGTGTCTGGTATTAGATTGTGATGTGATCTAGTGAAAATATCTGACCGAGTACAATCAGCTAGCATGTATTTGTTTAACCTAATAATGTTGGCATCATTCTCAACTACCTATAACAAAAATCTTACCATGAGACTCGTTAATAGCGTGTATCCATAGCCCCACGTAACGTCATGGATTGATTGAAGTTAAAGTTCCGTATAATTTAGTTTCTGTTCAGTGGTTTGACGATAAAGCGTCCGCACCCGAGACCAAAGTTCTGGGTCGTAGATATATACTCCTGAGGAGTATGATACAAGGATGAAACGACCGTTCATTGTAACTAGGTTTTCAATGATTATCTAACGCTAATCAGTTCGAAATTTTAGCAAAGCATGTTTTTGTAAGTATGAAGTAAAAATGTACAACCACAAGTCTTTCGGTTGTTGGTAAAAAGTAATCTGAATATTTGTAGTTAATTTCTATGATTAAGTGATAAAATAGTTGAAAATTCATTGTAAACTACATATTGTTAGATAATATGGTTTATATTTGTAAACATTCACATTTTCCCGTTACTAACTTTTATACAAAGGCTGAAATCACAGATAGGAGAACAGACAGTACATAGGTGATATATATGGATTGCCTGATAGGGAAGCTATCTTGGTATGAATATAAGAATACTAAAACCAAGAAGTTATGACTTTTAAACATTTACAGTAAAGTTTAGATGGATGCTTTCTAAAGAGAACGATAAATGAAATAAGAAAAAGAACGGTGTACAGAATATGTAGTTAAAAATAATTCAGACTGACACGTATTAACATGTTGAATATAGTGATAATTGTAAAAATAGAGAAGTAATATTATGGTTTTTAATAATCAACTTTAAGAAAAACAAGGTCCCATAGTTCAGGCACCAGTAAGATGACGTAAGAGATAAAAATGGGGTTAGACTACAAAATAAAGTTAAAAAGGGTTATTTGAATACAATCATAATTATGATATCAGAGAAAGGTCTATCAAGCTATCATTATGTACATATAAGCCAACTGAGGAGTGCTTGATAACGATTTCTCTCTGAAAAACTCGATGTTGGTTGTTTTTTTAATTATTTTGAAGGTATAACTGGTACTAACTCTATGTCCATTGTCCAACAGGTGCTTAATGATTGTTCTTGTGAAAGCTTCACTGCCTTTCAGGCATAGGCTTACTAGGACGTGTTCAGAAAACATGGTGGGAGCCCTTTCATATGTCTTATATACTTGCTACCTCAGGTATATTAAAATTTGTATATACACTTGGAGGTGAGGCCGGATGAGAATCGATCTACATTTGAATGACTTATTAAATATCTGGTGTTATGTAGTTAAACCAAATGAGGTGGTGCAGAAAATTTGTAGCTCAGGTGGATGATTTTGGTGGACTTTTGTTCTCTGAGCTAGAT